CAAAAAGAATTTGGAAACTGGTCTGATTTGCTTTCATATAAGGAGGTGATTTCCACACAGTAGTCTGCAGTGGAACACTCAGAAATGCTAGGGTATGGTTTCTGCAGTGTCTGATCTCTAAAATTATGGTATCTATGGTTTTAGGGAAAAAAACAGAACAAGACCAAACAACCAATGAGCCAAACAAAAAACCCCAACATACCCCAAAACCCAAACCATAAATTACTAGTACTACTAATTTAGGTTTCACAGCACTTTGTGAACTGTATCCATTGCTTGTCACAGCAAACCTCCACTAAAGTGACTTGCTTGCAGGATTCTCAGGAAAGAATATTCTCAACAACACTTGCTTGTAGACAGTAATTGTACTATACTGAGTCTCAATTAAGGCATTAATTGAGGTTGTCTTATTGTTTGGTTCTACTATCAGGCAAACTGTGGAAATACAGTGGGAAAAAAATTGCTTTTAAGGTCCTACAGCTTCTCTCAGGTGCTGCTGCGTAAGCACATATCACATTTCCATCATGACAGCCATAAACAGCAAGCGCAGGCTGTTTAGTGCAAACAACACACTCCCAGGATAGCTCAGTAGTTGAATGCAATCAGCTAATGCATGAGAAACAGCTTGTTGACTCTATCTGAAAAAGAGCTGGTACTGCAGGACAGAGGAAAATACTGGGAGTCTGTAAACCCTTTCTCTTGATACCCAGTGCTAATCAATTCAGCCTCTTCCATGGAAACATGCTTTGACTTCTCACTAATCTTGTCTCATAGAGTCAAAGCAATGAGAAATGTTCCCTTGCCATCACTAGTTAGTTGGAAAACGCTGTGTCTTCATAGAGATAATGACCTACTCTGCCTCACTTGTTTACCACCTTAAATCAGTCTTCCCATCTCCTTGGGAAGACAGTGCATTATGAACAAGCCATGTTCATTTTAATGCTTGCAAAATCCCAAACAGCCTGCTCAACACCACAAATTAGGAAAGGAAATGAAGTCTGCTTTCTTCTCTGGCTTTTGAGTGAAAAGTGATTTAGGAACACTGTGCTTCACAGGCTGATTACAGGTTATGTGAAATATTGTTCCACCGCAATTAATATGGCAAATAACTTTGCTTATTTAACTTTTCACTGAAGAAATAAAAAGTGTCTGTTAGAGATGGTATTAAAAACACAAGTGTCCAGTAATATTTCACTCAGAAACAAGTAAAATCACTACCATCCTCACCTCACCTTCTCCAATCTAAACACAGATAATATTTACTGAAAAAGAGTCTCCTCTACAGAGAAAAATTCAGACTCAAAAATCTATAGTTCAGTAATATAATCTATTTTATTTCCACAGAACTATGTTGTTGTGGGATGAGAAGGTAGATCCTCTTGCAGGTAAATGGTTTTAAAAATTAGGCTGTTAAAAATGGCTGCTTATTTTTCTGAATGGAACTCTGTGACCTGTGGAATCCTGCAAGGTTCTATGTAGGGTTCTGTATTCTTTCATGTCTTTATACATCATCTACAAAAAGTTGGGATTAATGAAGTTACAAAATTTACTAATGATTATTTAGTCATGACAATGCAGTACAAAAGGCAGCCACAAAGAGATGAAAAACAATGTCACGACACAGAAAAGTTTAAAAACACTAACAAAGTGAATTTCAGTCTTAATAAATGCCACACACTTCTGACTTCACATACACAGGAGAAGTTGTGAGACATCTAACCATTCTGAAGACAAAACAGTCCAACAGAAACATCAACAAAGAAGCAGCTGCAAAGAAAGAAATTATAGGATTTAGTAGAGGTGGAATAGAACAAAACAGAAATTCACTATACCACATGCATGAAGCACGTGCATACTACATGCATTTCTGGTCATCTGAACAGTTAAACTCTCTTGTCTTCTGTTCTCCCACTTGCCAAAACCTTTTTCTGTTCTACCAAGTCATGAATTAGAAATAACAAAGGCTTAGAAACAATCAGCTGCATCGAGCAATGGACTCCACTCAAAGTACAAATACTAACTAGACTGGGATTCTTTGGAATGGAAAAAAAAATCCCAGAATAAAGCACAACCGAGGAAGTACTTCAAAGATCTAAACAATCATGAAGAGGATGGAGAGAATAAACAAGGATCAATTTTTAACCTGTAAATTTCAACACAACCAGCAAGAGTTTTAGGACATAGGTTCAATATTAAAAGTTATCACTGAACAGATTTTTATACAAGATCATATGAAAATAACAGTTTTTTGCTAGAAGTCCCTAATTCCTAGACAGTTCTGAAAAGATAATACTAGATGTACATATTATCTTACATGTTTTCTAAGGTACCTCATCCTGACTCCTGCTGAACAATGGTTAGACTTTTGAAGTAACCCAAACTACTCTAAAGAAATCTTTCCAAGCCAGGCATTTCTTGCTTTATAGCAAGAATGATAGAACAGTTATGTCTTCAAAATACACTAACAACATTGTTTAGCATGGTCTAACTGGTGCTCCATGGGTCAAATAAAGTCCACAAATGCTTGCCAGCTCAACAGCTTTGTCTCACCCAGTCCAGGAAATAATTTTGTTCTGCAAATTCCATCTAATAGACAGACTGCTTTTCAGGAGCCTGCTGTGGTTAGAAAGGTGGTAGCTGTTGCTTTTGACCACAGAAAAAATTGCGGCTGCAATACACAGGCGAGTTTATGCAGTCCACTGATTATAGGGAAAGGCAAAAATGTCCTAAATGTCTTGTTTGGCCTTTGCCATTTCTGAGGTGTTGGACCTGATACTTCAATGAAAGAAACAGATATATTATTGTTCTAAGTATGAAATAGGAAAATTACTATGGAAGTTCTTCCCATTTCTTTGTCCTTCAGTGTCATTCCTTCTTCTGCCTTTTCCCAGCCTCAGTTTCTTGCTGATTTTCTTTCTCAGCAAGAGAAATTATAGTGTTCAGAGTTTCCTTCCACTTTCTTTCATTATATTGATACCCGTATATAGTACAGTATGTTGGTACCTGTCTCAGTCATGTACATGGATTTTCATACTCAAAACCTGATTTTGAATATTTTCAAAGAAACACCCCAGAATTCATGAATCCAAGAAATGTTTTTAGAACACTAAAATTATTTAAATCAGTGTGTCTTCTTTTATTTTTTTCATATATAAGAATATCCTCATAAAGTAAACAGACATCTATGCTTAATTGTGTAGTCAATTTTTTCCCCCATGTATTTTATTGCATTAAATCTACATTTTAAAATCCTTTGAATCTGAATAGGAAAAAAAGTGAAAAAAGCCTCCTTCTCCAAAGCTGCCTATTTTAACCAAAAGAATAAAACCCTAACATCATATTATTTAATGTAAGGCATAATACTTGACACTTGCTAAGAATGGTCATTTTTATCTCATGTTAAGATGCCCTCAGGAAAAATAGAAGTTGGGACAGAACCTATTCAAGATTTCTGTGACCAGCTCCTTAACTTTTGAAAGTTAAGGTCACTATGACACACTCAAGAATACTGTCTTTCATGAAACAATTATTTGGGCACACTGAAATGATGACTTGAGAAAAAAAATCACAATTAATGAGGTGCAGCGACCATTCCCCATTTTACTGATTTTACTTAAGAAGGAGGTACCTTCATTGTCCAAATGCAAACTGCAACCAAAGATAAACCTTTTATATAAAGAAAATAAAAAACCCCTTCTTGTAAGACAAAGATAGTCGACGAGGAGAAGAGTGAAAATGATTGCACAAAAAAAGGAATGTAAATGTAAATTAGGAAAAGAAAATAGATGTGCACTTTATTTAGCACTGGAAAATAAATCACTTAATTTTCAACAGCAGCAGGAGCCTTACGAAAATATTCTGATTCTTATTTTCTATCTGCTAATACTGCTCAATCCTAATTTGAAATGAACAAAGGCTGTGAAATAGGACAAAAACTGTACATTTTGTGCAGTAAGCACATGACTATCATTTCTCAAAAGACCATGTGAGGCAACCATCTTTTCCATTTCATGCTGAAATTCAGCTTCATTCTCTTTACCACAATGCACCCTCATACTATTTCAGTGCTTCCTATCAAATGCAGTCCTTTAGAAAAAGTGAGAGGCCAAAATAAAAGCAATTATGTTTATTTGTCTAGTCTGCCTAGAACTGACTACAAGCCTTCTTTCACACCGGTTTTCTGGGGTCCGTTTGGAGCTAGTGTTCATTATGGAGAATATAAGTAATCCCCTATTTTAAAACCTTTTGACATTACATTACCTGTTTCACCTGTCCTACAACGTGTAGTAGTGACACCCCTTTTTATAAAGCTACTGTGAGCACACTGCCGGTTTTGCTTCACGTACACCCTGCTGCAGAGCCCCGCTGTTACAGCCGTATCCCTCAATCCATTGTGTTCTGTCCCATTTCTCTTGCGGTGATTCTGACTCGGCGCAAAGAGTACCAAGAGGAGACCTCGCTTGGCCTCGCCCATCCTGCCCACCTGGAAGCCGTGCACAACGGAGTCCACGCCAGGGAGGGCAGGCTGCGGCAATCGCTCCAGGAGCTGAGGCAATAAACCCCACAGGCAGTCAGGTTTCCTGCCCCACTATCTGCCTGGCCCCTCGCAGCGCGCCCTCAGCGCGGGGCTCAGGCCCAGCTCCTCGAGCGAGGACCGAGAACCTCCTGCCAGCCGCGGGCGGCTCCGGGCTCCCCTGGCTTCCAGTCGGGCCGGGCGGTCCCTGCTGCTGCCGCCTCCCCCGCCCTCACACACACCCCCCCGCCCTCACACACACCCACCCCCGCACCGGACACCGCTCCCGCCCCGGCTCCCGCGGCACCGCCGCCTGCCCTGCGCGCCTACCTGCGAGCCGCGCCCGCGCACAGCGACAGCATGGGGGGCGGCGCGGGGGCGGCGGCAGCGGAGTAGGAGGAGGAGAAAAGAAGGAGGAGAAAAAGCCGGAGGAGGAAAGACAGGCTGCAGAGAAGAGGAGGAGGCAGGAGAGGGGGAAGAAGCAGAAGCAGAAGCAGCAGCAGCGACTTTGCTTCCGCGCCCGCTTCCGCGCCCGCTTCCGCGCCCGCTGCCGCGCCGCCCTCGCGCCGCCCTACCGCCGCCCGCGGGCGCAGTGTTCAGCCCCGCTCCGCCGCGGTCCTGCGCATCCGCTTCCGCCGCCTCCTCACGTCCCCGCGTCCCTGGTGTCTCGCAGCCGGAGGCAGCGCGGACTCCTCGCATCTCGCAAGGTAAGGGCGATGCCCGTCCCCTCGGAGAGCGCAGGGGAAGGCTGGGAGCTGCTTCCGTGCTGCCCCCAGTCCGTGGACCTCGGGGCCGGTGGGGCGGGTCGGGCCCCGGGCGGTGCGGCCGCTGTCCGTGAGGGGTCGGGAGGGGCCCGCGCCGCGGGTGGCGCAGGGTTGTCCTTGGGGCCCGAGCGAGCGGACCCGAGCCTGGGGGGCCCGGGAGGTGGGCGTGGGGAGGGAGCGCGGCCCGGCAGGTGGGACCCGCGCTGTCCCTCGTGGGGGGCGGATAGGGGACCCCAGTGTCCCCGGCTGTGCATCCCCGGCCGGTGGGACCCGCGCTGTCCGTCGTTGGGGGCGGATAGGGGACCCCAGTGCTAGCGTCTGTGCATCCCTGGCCGGTGGTCTTCCCGGCTTTCCCCATCTCCACGACAGGATTTGCCTGGTGTGGGTTTGGCCGCACACCGGTTTGGTCGCGGGTTGTAGAAAGAAAATAAGGTAGCAAGAGCAGGTCCTGATCTTGCCATTCATTTAATGCTACATTTTAAACCTGATTTTGCTTGGATAAGATTGTGCCCTTTTAAATCAAAATGGTTTAAGGAAAAATAACTTGAAAAGTTGTGACTAAAATTGTCCTCCACGTTATATAACTCCCAGATGATGCTGAATGGAAATCAGACTGAGCCAGTAGTGTCACTAATCACAAGTATGCACTGAGGTCACAGTGTTCCATTTCTTTGTCCAAAGTGACAATAAACTGCTCAGAGCACCATGTCACACCATAGAACACCTTTTATTAAAGGATAATAGTGTGTCACACCAGAGAATACCTTTTATGAAAGGATAACACCATGTCACACCATAGAACACCTTTTATTAAAGGATAATAGCGTGTCACACCAGAGAACACCTTTTATGAAAGGATAACACTGTGTCACACCATAGAACATCTTACAATGAAGGATAACATTGTGCATGTCACACCATAGAACATCTTTTATCAAAGGGTAACACCAAGTCATATAATGAAACAACTTCTACTGAAGTGTGTTTCTTTATGTCATATTTATCACAGTGGCTTTTTATTGGTTTTGACTTCAGCATCTGCTCCTACTTGCAAGTGGATATGTAGATAAAGTGCAAACCATGAAAAGAAACCTATAAATGAAAAATAAGTTGCTAAGTTATTTTAGCCTTTGTGAACTTTTCTTCCAGGAATGAACTGGAGGAAATATGTGCTTTTCTGCTGATAGTTAGACTACATTATTGTAGCAGTTTTCCCTAATCCATGCAAATTCATCACTTTTTTCAACACATCATGTTATTGGGCTTTCTGGTGAAGGATTAGATTTTATGTATTGTGTGCACTTCTTACTGAGGTTACTAGGAGGTTGGAATACTGTAGGGATTAATTTTCTAAAATAAGAGATTCTGTTGTTTTTAAGACATAACAGAAAACAATTTCAACATGTCATCGGTCAAGCGCTTGGTTTATGCAGTCATCCGTTTCTTGAGAGAACAGAGTCAGATGGATACTTTCACTCCAGATGAACAAGAAAGCTTGGAAGGTAAGCAACAAATGTGCTTTCACATATTTTTATTTATATGTATACATACATATATATGTGTGTGTGTATGTATATAATGCCTGCACAGATGTTAAATTCCTTTATGTATAATATCACAGAAAGTAACTGAAATGACATAAATGAAACTGCCACCAGATATTATATGCAAGTAAGATTGCGATCCTGTTTCTGAGATTATTAATTGTAAGACATCTCTCGTTTTTAAAGTATTATAAAGCTACGAATGTGTAGTGCCTTAATTTGAGCAACAGGCACTTTAAGTCACACCAGCTGCAGAGGTCTTTCTCAATCTGAACAATTTTATGATTCTAAGTTAAGCAGTGCTATAATGCAGACAGTGGTAATGACTTGTGTATGTATACCACAAATTTCTGCTGCTTCTTTCTGTCTTCCATGTTTGCTTTCTTTCTTCATTTCATTTCTGTTCCTCTGGTTACAGAGGAAGTAAAACAAATACTATATTGGTTTTGGTTTATTTGTTTTGGTATATTGGTTTTGATTTATTTGGTATTGTTTATTGGAAACATTTGGTAGAATGTTTCCTACTTTCAAGGATTCTATTTGTGAGGAAAAAGATATCCTAAGAAAATAAGATAAATGCTTTGCTTTTCTTTTTCACTTGACTACTGGCTCCAAAGAGTATGTGATAGTGGATATTTTCAGTATGGTTTCTGAAACCATTTCTACTATACACCCGAATTCATCTATCTATAGATATATTCTCTCTGTATTTCTCTATTAACAGATGCTCATTAGGTCTTTGTAACTTCGTAGTATTTGATGTTCTCCTTCATACTGCTCTTATTCCTTTTCCCTAATTACTGGAGACTTCATGTCAGGTGGTATCAGAATGTGGCACTGAGAGAAGACTTAAGTCTTAACGCTGCAGTAAGTATTTCATAGCATCTTTTAAAAAGCTCTCTCCACTGTTTCAAGCAGTCTTCAGTTGTGTCCATCAGCCAGAGGAGGAATTTGGAGAGAAGTCTAGGACCAGCAGTGCAGTTGATCACTGAGTTCTGTAAAATCTTAGGCATGGAGAGACTTTGCTGAGATGCAAAGCAAGTCCTGCTTCTCAGGGACATAAATTAAAAGATAAACCTGGAGTGTGCTTCTTTCTATTATCAACTGGTTGTCCAGTATAGTTGTTCACCAAAGTAAACAAGAAAGAAAGATTTGTGTCATTATATTCAAAGGATAGTCCCAAAGGAATAAAAGTTAAAAGATTTGGTTTTACATCAGAATCTGGAGCATTTTGTACATTTGAAAAGCAGCAGCCATCAATAAATTTAATGTGTGTGTCAGACTATGGTGATGTTCATCTGATGAAAGAAAACTTTTTGGAAGTCATACATAATAGAGGTGAAGAGATTTACTTTTGCTTTTATAATGAAACTGGCAAAAATTGGGTTACGGTTGAAAATTTACCTGATAACATGTCTTAGAGGAGCCTTAGCCAGTGTGTTTATGAAAGAATCAATTTTAAGATTCAGTTTTCTAAATAAAAGATATTACAAAACCTCAGTTGTGCTTAAAAACCAAGGCAAAATTTACCATTTTAATATAGATCTGAAATCCTATTTTTAGATTTATGCTCTGCCATAAGCACGGTACCATATGCTATGTGTTAGAGGATAAGAGGCAGGCATTCTGAAAACTAGACTCATTTTAGCTGTGCAAATTATCTTTAGTGCATGTACAGTAGCAATAGCCGAGTCTTACTCACTGAAGTATTTAATGTTAGGTGGAGACATAAGGGATGAAAAGAATTGACTGATAGTTTTTGTTGGTACCTTATGTACCTATTTGGTGTCTGTGAAAAGACAAAAACACTGTATGATTAAGTGACTGTGCCAAGAAGTAATTCAAACAGTTCCCAATTTTTGTAAAACAACAAAAAAAAGAGATAGAACATCACAAAAAAAATTGAGCCTTTATAAAATACAAGCCTAGGATGTATTCATACTCAACGATAACCTGCATACTGCATGTTTGAATTATATAGATATGTCAATGAGAGTGTGAATTTCCTTTAGGAATTTTGTACTGGCTTGATGAATAAAAATACCTTATTTTGAGAAAGCAGAGTAATTGGAAGGTAGACCAGAGAAATATATTCCCCTAGCATCTAGAGCAGTGATACAGATCCCTGGTGCTTAGTGCTCAGCTCTTTTGTATGAGCCAGAAACTTCCCTTCGTCCAAGTTATATTTTAGACTGTGGTTAAATTGCAGTTATTTCTCTTTTCTTTTTACAGAGTGGAGGTTTTATTTTCCTCTCTGTCACTCTCCCTTTCTTTCTTCTTTTCTATAGCACCTATTTCTGTGGGATTAAAGCAAAAACTCTCTAAAACATACCCAAGGCTGTGATTTTCTTCTTACTTCTATGATTGATATACCACAACTATTTTCTGTAGGGCAGTGTTTCCAAAACAGGAAGGCAGTGGATGCATGTAATACTTGACACAGGTAAGGTTATGTGTAAGATGAAGCAAGATGACAGCAAGTACTAAGGGGACCTCAGCAGCCCGATTAATGCTCATTATTCAGCCTGCACATTGGCTGTGATGCAGGCTGTGTTGGCCTTCGTGTTGCTTGGTGATGCAGACTTGTGTTTGGACAGCAGAAGTCCTGGAGCTTTGTGGCAATGGGTTCCAGCATAGTCCAGTGCTACTATAGTCAGATAGTGGGTGTTTGTGTGAGCCCCAGCTCTTCAGCAGGGAAGTGGTTTGCAAGGTGGTCGCTTCAAGCTTGAGCCACCATGTAGGTGGATGATGGTAGAGCTAACTGGGAGAACAGATAACTTTGGCCTTTGATATCAGACATAGGAAAAATCTTAGGTGAACAGCTCATATGGTGCATCAAGTCTTTTCCCTGATAATATCAAGCTTGCAGAATTTGACAGTGCCTCACTTGGATAAATGGGATAGCAAGGTGCTAGCAGTCTGGCCTCCTGAGAAACTTTTCAGGCAAAAACCAAGTTCCCACTCCTTTGACTTTACTGGAGTTGTGTTTTTGTGTAGTGTTAAAACCGGGTAGTTACCAACCTTGTCGCAACTTACTATGTTTTCTGATTTGAAAGTGTTTGTGTTTAGCAATGTTTCCTACTCTGTGGGTTTCTGTTGTTGGCTTGCATTTAGCCAGTGGTTATTCTAATCGATCGATTCATTCTATAAGAGGTCCTAATTTTATTTTATCTATATATATCACATATACTATATATGATAGATAGAAGGATTATAAATTCCATTTTCCACTTAAAGGAGAAATATGGGAATTCACAGCACCAACTAATTATTTGATGAAAATGCTGAGTAGTAATAATACTATAGTCAGAGTAATTTTGTTTACATATAATGTGCACTGCTGCATTTTTTGAAACTCTTCTGTATCATAGAGATTTGGTGTCATAGATTTGATACCTTGAGAAAGATAAGGGATGTGGTTATATTTTAAATTTATGCAAAATTACAAATGAGGAGAGGCATTCAGAAAAGGGAGTGCCTTTCAGTAAAAATAGGCTGGCAGGGAAAATTAGTAGGAAACTATTGCATGTGGCTTCCTATTAAGTCATATAAGGAAAAATGATATGTGTTATTTCACTGATTTTATAATCAGCCTGGTAATAAAAAGTACTATTAAAGGTTTATACATGTTTCAAAATTCAGCATAATCTGTGTTTACAAGAATTAAGTTTTTCACATAGGAGACAAATGAGCTTAACCTGAATCCCTCAGTGCTCTTACTGGATAATTTAGGACCTGGTCAATTGATTTCTAGATTATAGAAGCAACTTGTATAATGTGTATTCAGCAGTGTATTCAATTGTTACATGGTATCAACTTTGTGTCATGCCATACTGTTTGTGAAATGTCTATTGTATAATTTTCTAAAAAAATTACATCTTCCAGGTTTTACTATCTGTTTTGCAAACCTCTTCCCCCTCCCTCTCGACCCCTTCCTGCCAGCTGTGTCATAGAAGATAAAAACTGGCCTTATAGTTGTTAACATTCAGTAACTTTACTTTTCTAATTTTGGATCAGTGTTCAGTCTCATTGTAAAGCAAAAAATAATTCAAATTATATTTATTATGTTAACATTGGATTGAGGGTACATTTAAATACTAAGAATCAGCTTTCACTGATACTTAATTTGAATTCAGATACTCCTGGTTGTCCATAATATGTGTTAAAACACCCATTTTTCTGTTCAAGCTAGGCTTTATAAAGACCCTTTTTGTTCCTCCTCAGTTTTCAGTCTAAAACATTTAGATGATACATGTTAATAAAAATATTAAAAATTGTACTTTATTAAAAATAAAAAAATTGTACTACAATTTTAAGATTGTAGGTAAAATAATTATATAATTTGCAACAGTTTAACTGTGTATGTGTATGTATGTATCTAGACAGAATGGTATATAGTAATTGCTACTGATCTTCTTTTGTCTAAAAATATGAGCATATTTAAAACTTCTGGTAGGGATATGGCTCTACATTTTCAGGTTTAATCTGAGTTACATTACTGCAGGCTAATCCTTACACACAGAACACGTGAAAGGATATTGCAGATATATTTTTATAGGACAAAGTTTTGTGATTAATGCAGCATTTGATTAATAAAGTATCTTCAAATAAATATACTTTTTCCAAAAAAAAAAAAAAAAGATAAGACTAGTAAGTATCTTGCCTTTATTCTGTACAGCAAAGATGAGCCATTTTCTTCCAGCTGTTATGGCACACGAATATCTATAGCCAGTTGTGTGCTTTGAGGTGGGGTGCGTGACACGAACATTTCTAGTCATATTGTGAGTTGTGGTGCTCTTCTTAAATCACTATATTTTTATAATTTTAAAAAAACTTCAAATGACTGAAAGAATTAAAATTGAATTTTAAATTGATTTAAACATAATGGCCAAACTATATGTGGATTGTCTATATTTTAGATCTTTTTCAGCAAGCTCATTCTGGTGATCAGGTAGCCTCTCTTTATTTTTTTATGTTCCAAGGAGCTGCTTTTACTAGTTGAATAAGGAAGTGAGTCACAGCTTTATAAATAAATCAGTATAATTATGCTTATATTGAGAAACTGGTGACCTATGTTATTAATTTTTTTTTCCTGTAAGTTGCAATTCAGTGTCTGGAGACTGTGTTTAAGATTACCCTGGAAGATACTCATCTTGCATCCTCACAGCATTTGATAGAAATGTTCACAAATTCTATTCAAAAGGTAAGAATTTAATTTTGGTTCTAGAGTTATTCTGCCAGTATGTGCTAAGGTTTCATATTGTAGACGAATACAACAATATTAAAGTTCTTTATAGGTCAAAATGATGTGAAACTTAAGGAAAATATGAGAAACCCTACATTTCCATAAAAGCTAGCATAATGTGAATCTTTGGGGGCAGTGGGAGGAATTCATTTCAGCTAGACAAGGAAAATTCCATACAGAAAATTACTAAACAGTGGATGCCTTATTTTCACTTGAAGTTTTTTATTCTTCATTTAAGCATTTTGCAATTCCCAGAGATAAATGCCTGATGTGCCTAAGGTCATTCGTAGTTTGCTGATGTTTCTCCCTTCTTTCTGAAAGTTTTTTATAACATCAGGGCTTATATATTAAAGAAAAAATCTTGGTATTTTTTCCATACAGAATGACATGCTGCCTCTCTCACGTTCTTTACCAGAAGGCGTTGCAAAGGCTGACCAACTGAAGGATGAAGGTTTGTAATAAAAACAGAAATAAATTTCCTTATGCTCCTATTATATTTTTGCATTATTGCGGGTAGTGATAGTACAGCAGCAGGGTACCACACACCCCACTAAATAAATCTCCAGCTTATTCTCTGGTGACTGCTACGTCATAAGAGGGCTAGGTGATTTGTTCCGTCCAGGAGCAAAGGAAATAACGTTTATTCTCTTCCTGGCTCTGGAGGTTACTTAAAATCTAAGGGATAACATGTAAAGTTGGAAATATTCCTAAGCAGCAGAAGCTTAAATAATGAAGAGCTATTGTTTGGCTGTTTGTGCATGGAATACAAGTTTCTACTCTTATTGAAATGGGTATGTGATGGCAAACATTGGTAAAAAATTGACCCAACAGAAGCCAGTGGAAAATTTTTTGTGAACTAACTAGGGTTAGTATTTCACATATGTGAAATTATTTGTGTGCTTTATTGCAGACAAGCCAGTTGTTTATTTTCCCTCTCGCAGCTGTTATTGCTGTTCTGTGAGGAAAAGCAGCTGTACCATAGAAGTCACTAATGCTGCCTAAAAAGGAATCCATATTATTTCCCCTCAAAAAGAAGGGGAGGGAAATGATAAAAAGCATGTAGTAGTGATAACTGTTATGACTTGTTATGGATTGATGCTTTATGAATCACATTGTTTATGACCTGTTAGATTTTCAGGTAGCTGAGTTTTATAGGAAAAACAAGTAAACTTCTAATTGCAAGGCAGATACAATCCTCTCAAAATTTCTGTAATAATGTGGAAGAAGGACTACTGTTTCTCAAAATGCATTCCATGTCTCTCTTACCTTAAAACTGGTCACCTGTAATCATAAATGCAGTCCATTACTGGCTCTGAAATAAGTTTTCCTAATTGTTGGAGTTGCTCATTAGCTTTTTAATTCTGAGAATGAGAGCTCAAACATGGTTAGGTCACAAGTGAAAATGTGTTAGGCAGTTGTAACCTACCTGCTGTGCATGCTGGCTTTTTGTTTTGTTGTTACTACCAACTCATGGAAAGTGAAGAATACCTCTTGGTCTCAGTATGGTTATTGAAGCCTAGGAATAGTCAGCACTTTGCAGGTGTGGGTGTTATAGCTCTTCTAAATCTATGACTTCAGTCTTGCTATCTTTCAGTCCACAAGGGACTGTGAAATAGACTGAGAAAATGGAATTAGTGTGTGCTATGTGTTAGTCTTTGTGTGGTTTTACCAAAGTAATTCCACAGCTCTACTGAAAAAAACTGGAAGGGTCTAAACTTTGTAACAAAGAACCAATTCGAGTGTCATCTGTCAGGGGCATTAGTAAGCAGTTTTGAACTGCTTGAAATGCCTCAGGTAATTTCCCATAATAAGTGTCCTTGTTTCTGTGTTGTTTTGATCCTACACATGTAAACACACATATTATCTATAACTGCTATCATGCTTTCAGTTATGAGTATTTTCTAGTCTGAGTTAGGAAATAAATTAGATAACTTGGGGAATTCTACTTGATGTCTATCTTCTACAATATTATAATACTATAACTGTGATTTCCTCATTTCTGTCTGTATCCCCTCACCAAGGGAACAACTTTCCTCACCTTTGTGGCCACCAGCCTGCTCCTTTGGTTTCAAACCAGCCCTAATCTTGGTAGATTTTCACTAATGAATGGCAAAATAAAATCAGGGAGCTGAATTTTCTTTCTTGGTAACAAGGAAGTAATATACACTTCAGACTACTTGAATTTAGATGCCTAACCTTGTATATAATTTGACATTTCAGCTTAGTGTAAGATGTGTAAGAGCACAGATTATGTGCAGGTTTGTATAGTGCAATGGTGGCCTGATTGTAAGAAGATCTGTGTTTTATTACCACAGCATAATTGTAACAATAGGTAGTATTTACAGTATAGAGGACATACATTCAAAAGTATAACCATTTGTGTAATTTTTTGTCTTAATGATTTTGTATGACATTAAAATAGAATAATACAGTTGCTTTTCCTTATCTCAGCAGAATTAGTAGATCTAGCTGTTTTTCTGTTTTCCTGTAGCAAGGTTGCAGCTGGAGAGAGAGATAATAAGAAGGGTATGCACTGATACTATCTCCAACTTAGCCTTGTACGCTGGGTCATATTCGGACCAGTATCAGAAATTCTAATGCTGACAGACATTGATGGCATTTTTGTTTTAAAGGAACACTAACTCCTGCAATCTTGCTGAGTGCAGCTGACTTGCAAGGCTTTTTTGTCTGACAACATAATTTAGTGTACAGATCTTTACCTTATTACAAAGGAAAGCTGCAGAAACAGTGGGCCTCTAGAAACAAGAAAGATATTGTTACATTTTGCATGTATTTTGAAGGTATACATGCAAGTACAGTTCTTTTGAGTTCTCACTGGAAGTTTACTATAATTGCACTCTAGTATAGCAGTATCAGAGGATGTGATTTTGTACTTCTTTAATGATACTTTGTTACTTAAATCTGGTTTTGTTCACTAAACTCTTTGTGTTCACAAATAAATGCAAGTACAGTTGCTTCAGTTAGTGCAAGCACAGAAGACTTGCTCCACAGTCTTGCTTTCTCTCAGAGATAAACTGTTGCTTACGCAGTTACCTACATCAGTAGTAACTTATTGACCTATCCCTTGACTTGTTTGTTTTAGGAGAAGGTTTAAATATTTGGCCGAAATACAAGAAGTCAGTGGAAGTCTATATTTTTCCTGACCATTTCTTGACATTTCTAGGAAGTCAAGGCTTCTGTAGGATCTAGCTGGCCAAAAATTGATTGTAGTAGAACCACAGACAAGTCTGGGCACTGAACTAGGGTTTTTTACTACTGTGTCATCAGGAAAGGGAGAAACTACCAGGATTGCTTTGTTTTGGGGACAAAAGAATGTGTAAGGTGTCTTTTGCTTTGAAAGACCTTAGTCCAGAATTTTCTGTCCATAAAGAAGTTACATAAATGTTTCTGGGGTTTTTCCCGCTGGACTGAAAATATATGAAATGTGAAACTTTGTTACAAAGTAGAAGTTCTAAGCTTCCTTGGTGAGAAATTTTACTTCTGAATCCTTTTAGATTGCTTATGCTATACATACTTTTAATTATCTTAATGAGTTAATTATTTACTGTCACAAAAATGGGGCTTACGTGCTTAGTTTTACTTTTGTTTGATTTTTTGGTGTTATTTAGATAGTTACTAGCAAGTTGTGTGGACATATAAGAAAATGAGATTAAAAAATTAACATAGCATATTGGGCTTGCAAAGATAGTTTACTAGAGTGAAACTGCAATTACAATGACACTTCTCAGTGAAGTGATCTTTCCTTAACAGCAGAAACTAGCTGGAAAGTCTGAAATACCAAGACGAAAAGAGGAAGGTTTCTGTGTTGTACTGCAATGCACATAATAAACTTCACAGACATAATAGATATTTGCATTATTCCATGACTTTTCTGTTTAAAAGCATGTATCTCAAAAAAGTGCAGTCATAACTCACTTCTGTAGATGCTAAAAGGTAGCAGAAACATCTGCTCTGTTTCTTTCATACAGAGCTGTCTCATCTAACTACATACTGTCTCATCTAATTACTTAAAAGCTTTTTATAATTCATTTCAGGTAATAATCATATGAAGGAAGAAAATTATGGTGCTGCAGTGGATTGTTACACTCGGGCTATAGAACTGGATCCAAACAATGCAGTCTATTACTGCAACAGGTAAACCCAAAATGATACACACCTTTCATTCCTGGACTTTGTTAACATTATTTTAAAAATAAATTATGAAGCAGGTTAAAGGGTAGAAACCTCACTATTTAGAAATCTATTGTTAGATTTGTAAAATTAGAGTGAAAGTGAGCTCATTCAGCATATCTGTATCAGTTAAAATGGGCTTTAAAATTACTTACAACTCTTCAGACAAGGTATCGTGTGTGTCAGGTTGTCTATATTAAATCATAACATAGGCTGTGATTTCTAGCCTGCTGAGAGCTGAAAGCCTTTTTCTCTGGTGTTGTAGTGACTCAGCTGCTCTCTCTCTCTCCTTGAGTACTAGCTACCTCTGGCAAAAAAAATCATCAATGCAGGAATACCATTTTGGAGATTGCAAATAGTCAGTATTTTCATGCGTGACCTATTGAAAAATAACAATGGTGCTGTTACAGTTTTCTTATCTAATCTGTTCTTTACCATCATGAATGAAGAAGACAGTGGTTTGGCAGCAGGTAAGCTTGGAAGGGCGTGTTAACCTAGTCACAGCTGTCTGCTCTTGTGGAACACTGCTTGGAAGAGCAGCCAGAGAGGAAAGGCAGTCCCAGCGTTAGGCCCTACTGGAATGAGCCCACCTCTAGAGTGCCTCCATTATTAATTTAAGGATATAGGATATATTAGCTTAAGTGCTGTCAATCTGGCCTTGTGGCACTGTACCCACTGGATTATGCTATTTTTGAAGTTCTGCATCCATTGCTCCAGAGTTTAGTTTTTGATAAATACAAATGAAAGAGTCAGTATTTAAAGGCAAGTTTAAAGAGAAAGGAAATTATGCAGTTTGCTAACATTTTACACATTTAGGATGGCTGTTCAAAAGTGTAAATCATCTATATTCTTAGTGAAAACTGGTCACATGAGTCACTTTACATATAAAACAGAAATATCAGACCAGATTCAAAAGCTTCCTAAAATCACTGGAAGTTTCCTCGGTATGGGCTTAAATGTCAAAGTTTTAATAAGCAAGAGCAGAAATAATTTTTGAGTTGCATCATCACATACCACATTTGTGAGAACCAAAATGAATCTTGATGTCAGTACAGTATTGTATGTAATTATTTAAAAGAAAACAGGAGTTGTTTGGAATTTTGTGGATGATAGAGTATTTCAATAAGCATATACCTTATTCTTAAGCTTGTTAGGGAGGCATGAGGACATGCTGCATTCAGTGGGATTGCTTTTTATCCACAGCAGTGCAAAAAAGAGTGGGCTGATATGCCCTCAAAATTTTAACTGGCCTTCTTATGGAAAAATGTTTTCTGTTCAAACACATGTGAGAACAAGCATTGCCTCCAGCTTTTATTTGTAAACCTTCACTGGCATCTGTGGAGTTGGACAACTGCTTAACAGCCCAAAACTGATAAGTAGTCCCATTTAGAAGACATTTTAATCAAAGTCAGAAAAACCCATGCAATTTGGAGCTAATCACAGGACAAAGGATTCTTAATAACGAAGATATATTCTTTATGCAATGAAAATATTGTAATTTCTACTATATTTTTTAACTGAGGAAAATAAATGAGAGTGTCTTAAAACCTTCGAACTGGTGAAGTTTTTATTATTAGTGGGTTTCATTTTAATTGTGTCACATTCATTTCATTTAATGTGTCCTTTTTAATTTGGTCAAGTCTTTAATCTTATTGTATTAATATCTGCAACATGTAGTATTTGTCCAATATAGAGATGTAACTGTAATTTAGTAATGCAGAGGTTGTTGAGAAATGTTATTGTGATTTACCTTCAAGCTTGAGACAAATTATAAAATCCTGAGCAGGGAAAAATCACAGCATTCCTTTAATGGCTGTAAAACAATGCTTCTGGAAAACACCAATTACATAAAGTATTTCTCCTTAACAGTATTTTATATAAACTACTACTTGACAGTTTCACTTCTTGTAATAGGTTTTATGATTTATTCTGTGCATAGTCATGTGCTAGATCTTAGACAGTTTCTTAGAATTATTTGTCCTTTGTGTCCTCAAAGGTGAGTGCATGTTCTCCAAAACCATAGTCCAGCAATGCACTTGGGCACATATTATAACATTTGCTTGTCCTACTTCATTAAAGAAAGTTAAGCATAGCCAAAATAGTGAATGAAAAGTCAGTAAGGTTAAATAAGTCACAAACATGTGGATATCTATGGTTTGGTTTGGTTTTGGTTTTTTGTGCATTTTTTGGTTGGTTGGGTTTTTTTTTTATTTTAACAAAACTTCATTTCCTTACCGTCTTTCTCTTAGGGCTGCTGCTCAAAGTAAGCTCAACAACTTCAGGGAAGCAATAAAGGACTGTGAGAGTGCCATAGCAATAGATCCAAAGTACAGCAAAGCCTATGGAAGAATGGGGTAAGCTAATAGAAGTCTGAGTAAACACTGAAGACCCATGTGTGTATTACCATAGATTTTCTGAAATATGTGGAGCCACTTAGAGAATTCATTGTAATTCATAACAGAACATTGTTGTGTTGTGTAAGTACAACAATTTTCTGAAGATGACCCTATCAGACTGTCAGCTCTTTTTCTATGTGGTTGATACCAGCATTTTCATCAGATTTCTTCAGTTTGCAGTTTTTTTCTTTCAATTTGTCAACTTGCTGGATTTAGTTTAGGAAGTAGTGATGGTTTTTTCCTACCTCCTAACTAGTTAAAAGTAATCAAAATTCTGCTGTTGGAACATTGAATCTGTTAATGATGCTGTTAGAGAACAGCACTGGGGCTTCACACTAGCAGGAATCAAGCCTCAGTTTTTCAATAGCTCTTTGGAAGCAGACATTTTAGCAAGAATAAGCTATGTTTCTTTGGCAGGTTTTCTCAGCAATGTCTGAGAGACTAACTATATAGCCTCTTGAGGGTGGTTTTAAGTGTTAACTGAAAACAATGTCAGGAATGCTCTAACAGGCTGTTGGTTTGAGTGAAGAGCCATTCTTCAAGATCTCTAGCTTTGCATTTTCAATAATCAAGCACATTGTAGTAGTGGACTTAACACTGCATATGTCTTCTGAGATTATATTTATACCAGTAAATTAAAAAATGCTTGGGATTGTTTGTTGAGTCAGTTGGTCCAAAATGGCTTATGTCCATGTTATTAAAATTTACTTTTCAGTATGGAGTGGCCACATTCAAACAACCTATTGCTAAACTGCATTGGTCTGTATTAAATTCTGAACTGTGCCCTGAAATTGTCTGTGATAATTCTTGTTGGCTTGGGACAAAACCATGCAGGGGACATTTATTTTAAGATAAAATGTGGTGGAATTCTATCACTTAAAAACTTTCCATAATACAGTTCATTTTACTAATACCAACCTAGAAGCTTTGAAAATGATTAATTGATTTTGGAATTTTAGGTTGAATTGGTTGTTGAATTGGTTTTGTTTCATTTAACTCTCCTTACATTGCTTCTTCATATAGCACAATTCAAGCTCCCTTGATTTCAGTGACATGGAGGGATGCTACAGGCTGATTTAACTACTAGAGATTATTTTAGAGTTTTGGATGCAAGACCAATGTTTCTTTGATACACACTGAAAGTGAGACCATTCTCAGACAATCAAGCTTCTCTTTATTTTATTGTCTGGTTGTTTTAATAGAGGACATATTCTGAGCTGCAAGCCACTGCTTAACCCAGCAGATGAGTAAACATTTGGCATAGGCTGAATGAGGAAACCGTGCTTGTTTAGTAGCAAGTGAAAATCCCACTGCCATGCCCCCAGTGTAGCAAACACTTTCTCAACAAAAAATCCTTATGAAAAAGATGTGCTCTCTGACTGCATTATGGAGACATATCAGTTTTTCTCAGAATCTGTCAGAAATTCTTTGTATGTCACCAAAAGATGCAGAAATGCCACAAATATTCAGAGATGGGAGCCATTTTAAAGTGGGAATGTCAGTTAAAGGAGGTATTTCCAGCATGAACCAGAAAGACCACTTGTCTGGGTAGGAGGTGTGAGGAAAGAAATTGTCTGCTGTTCTGACTTGTACTGTGCTCCAAGAAACACTTTCTGTAAAATACTTTATAAGTAAAAAGCACTGTTGCATCACAGAAATAACAGATTGCATTTCTTGTCTAGGCAGAAACCATTTTGGCAAGTTAATGGGCCAAAAGGGAGACTGTTTTTTATGGGGGTAAATGAGTTAAGAGAGAAAACACCAATATTGTGTGGATTCCTCCAGGAGCTACATGGGAAATTCCTGGAGTTTTATACTCTTACTGAGAGTGATGACAATCATGGATGTATCTAAAATGCTGAACTTGTTTGCATGTGATGAAAGACCAAGGTCTGTTAGTGGGCATAAGCACAGGCTTATCAACCCAGGCTGTGTAGCTCAGCATCAGAAGGTGAACTGAACAAGTAAATATCTGAATGTGGGTTACACAAATCTTTTACAAAATGTGGAAAAGATCAGATTAGTTTTCTGGTCAGTATAAATTGCAAATGCACTGGCAGATAGAATTGCAAGTGCAGCCAAATGGACTTCTGGAATAGTTCAGAGAAAGATGATATTTTGAACATAGTAGCTAATCAAATTTGAAATAAAATACTCCTTAAAGGTGGTAGGTTTGTCCTGTGCTCTCATGAGCTGCTGAAACAGAGTCTTTTTCAAAACATTAAGTAGGCCTCCTTGATTACAAGGGTTTCTTACAGCATTTTGCAGATATTACTACTATGCTGTATAACCCATTTGTCAAGTTGTTGAAGTACAAGATCCAAAAGGAGAACCTTTACATTGATCCTGAGACAAAAATGCTGAAACTTGTAAGTCCAGTATTTTAAAATAATGAAAATGTTAATAATAAAAATAATTTTATATAAATGTATAAAGACAAAAATATAATCATCAAACATCTTCTATATTCAAATATTTAATACAGTAATTATTATATTAAAAGTATGGTTTTTATATATGTAAAAATAAACAATATATTTGTATGTCCGGTTTCTTAACATTGTATAACTCATATTAAGATATCTTTGCCCTACCCACCCATGTAAGTTTCTAAATAATCTCTTAGGTCAAAAGAACTGGAAAAAACACTTAGAGCTTATGCAAAAAGGCACAGATGCCAGATCCAGCTTGTGCTCTTCAAGTGACTAAGTCACTTGATGATATTGAGGAGCTTTAAATGAAATTTGCATATATATGAAACAGACAATGCAAGATGTGTTCTTGAGGGATCCTCTTCTCTACAAAAACAAGCGCTTACACTAAGCAGTAGTACCTGTTTTAATTAAATGGTCAAGCTAAAAATCAGTTGTGAGATACTATTTTACTTAGAACAGAAAGCATATCATTAGCTGTTGATGATCATTTATGTTCTAACCAGGATTTATTTCACATTAGGTTGGCTCTGACCTCAGTGAATAAATACGAAGAAGCAGTTACCAGTTATCAAAAAGCACTGGATCTTGATCCAGAGAATGACTCTTACAAGTCAAATTTGAAAATAGCAGAACAGAAACTAAGAGACGTGTCCAGTCCTGTAAGTTTGCTCTGTATCTATTTATTTACAATAGTTTAAACTGGGATTTTGTAGGAAACTTAGCTTCAATTGCAATTTGTTTGTAGACTGGAACTGGACTGAGTTTTGACATGGCAAGCTTGATAAACAATCCTGCCTTCATTAGTATGGTGAGTATATCTCAAGGTTTGCATTATCCTGTTTTAAAAACTGAACTTTTCAGAACAACTGTTGTTCAATGGTACAAGCAGTTTTAATGAGTACTACTATAGCAATGGTTTTATTACACTGAATTTAAACTTCTTGACATCATTTTGCACTCAAAACAAGAAGTGAAGCAAGTGTCTTTAATAATGCCTGTCTCATTTCCAGCTGATTCTATTACTTATAGAAAAAAAAAAAACATACACATACCTTAGCTATGCTGTTTTTATCTATGCTATGACAGAAAGTTCTTGTCAACAGCACGATGGAAATTTCTTCAAATCTCCACAGAACAGTTAACAATGATACAAAGACTAAAGCAACTCTCCTTTGGGAGAACTATCCAAGAGCCCTTTCTGTTCTTACTCTTTCAAATTATCCCTAATAACCTTAAGAGTTAAAAAAATGAATATAAATGGCATTTACAGCATTCTTCTTATGTCAGTGCAATAACAAATTGTGTACTTCTGCCTCAGTATTCTTTTTTTTTTCCACATGGCTTTCTTAGCTAAACAGAATTAATTAACTTTGTAGAATGGAATTTGGAGAAAAATAAATGAAAAAGAAACCACAAAAAACAACCCCCAAACTTACTTCCTTTAAGAAAGCAGTTAAAACTTTACAAGCCCTCTGGTAGCTTCAAGGAACAGCACATTTCAGCCAGTGCTTTTGTGTGGAAGTGTGCTGCATTCAAAAGAGATCCATACATCTGGTTTGGTCACATGATCCAAATAATAGACACAGTAGGCAAGGAAAGAGGGAGCAAGTTCTCTGATGGCATTCATGATTAAATAGCACTGTATCTCTGTGTACTACTTCACTAGCCACATGATGTACTTAAGACAACCTCTGTCTGTTTAGAATCGATGTTTGGAGCTGGCTTTGGAAAGGATCTTTTACATTGTTTCCAGAAGATGCTTGGTGAACTAGATAGAACACAGAGCATTTATTCAGGAATAAATGAGTTCTTTTCCCAAGGTGTAGTTACTTGGTTATTTGTAAAGGTGAAAAAATTGCCTGTTTGACCTTGAGAAAATTGGTTGTAGCCTCAATTTTTGATCCCTAAACTGGAGAGGGCTTATTACTGATGGAAGAAACTAACCCTATATTGAGCACTGAATTGACCTGCATGTGACATTTTATACATTTTATATCTTAACTATTAACTAGAGAAAAAAGTTCATTTACTTTTGAGTTATCTATATATGTTGATTGATATATTGATCAATAAAATGAAAACTGGATATATCTGATTTTTGTAATATCTTTAATAAGACAATTAACTGTGTTTTGTCTGCTGGTGGTGAATTCATACAGACACTGATTTCTGTAGGAATAACATTACTAACATTGAAAAATCACATTTTCTTCTGATAGTATCAGTCCATAGACACCCTTACACTATGGTAGAAACAATGTAATTTTAGAGGTATCTAATGAATGAGAAATTTAAATAGCCTCATGCTTACTATAAAATAAGAAGATATGCAGTTACCAGAGAAGATATATGTTACCACAAAACCATGCTACAAAGTAAGTCCACACTCCAATTTGATCTGAAATATTTTGTGGCCATAATCTTAACTGTTAATGCCTGGTACTAATAATAGTTTCAAAATTAATTTATCCAGGCTGAGAAGGAACAAAATACAGACTTTTGTCCAAGAAGTCCAGTAGAAAACATTTGTCCTTGCAATTCTTCAATGTTTCATTTGTTTATTTAGTTTTCTGGTGCTGGGTTTTTTTATGTTAAATGGTTTGTCATATTTTTCATGTCTGAATCTATAATCACTATTTTTTCTTTAAGACGTAACAAATTGTATCAGCTTAATTTTCACGAAGTATGTTGCTGTAGTGATTCTTTTTGCTCTGCATGTAAACTTAATTTTGTAATAAAACAGAGCATAGCATGTGGGTTTTTTCTGCATGATTTTCTCCATGATAGCCAAGTAGTAAATGTTTTATAATTTCAGCTGTATGTTGTCTATTCTAGGCAGCAAGCTTAATGCAAAATCCTCAAATTCAACAACTGTAAGTATTAAAATGGGGTACTGTTAAAACAAATGACTTAAGAAGTTTGAATTAATTACTTACAGCTATATTTTTGAAATGTAGATGTATTACTGAAAATGTAATTTTATTTCGCTTACTGTAAAAGTGTAGCTTCTTCTCCTTGCAACTTAATTCCTCTTAGCAATTCAAAAAAGAAGTGGGGCTTATTGCTTACAGTAAAGGTCCTTGCACACCCCAATACAAACACTGTGCTAACTGTTCCAGGATGTCAGGGATGATGTCAAATGCCATTGGTGGCCCTGCTGCTGGGGTTGGTGGCCTTTCGGATTTGTCCAGCCTGATCCACGCGTAAGTAAGACCAGCATGGTTTTAACTGTCACATTTGTAGTAGGAAAACTGTGCAACATCTATTTAAAAGGGTGCAGTGTCAAGGGAATGATACTGTGGTCTGTTCTCACTGTTTGTTATTAAAACCAAGAACTCGAAGACTTATTTTCCAGGACTTTGTTTGTTTGCTCCATACATTTCCCTCAACTGGAATGACTGAACTGCTATGTGCTCAGCTTCACCTTCTGTTTCTCATACGCTGTTATTTTCTAATGCCACTTACTAAATTCCTTTAAATATTTTAAGTACTCCTACATGTGCTTTCAAATTGTGTGGATAAATTTACTATCTGATATCTCGGATGCTAGTTAGGAAAGCTACAGATTTACTTAGCACAAGTCAAAACAATTTCAGCTCTGGCATCCCTCCATTTAGATGAGGAATGTTTCAGGGAACTCAGGATAATGAAGAATACCTTAACAAAACCCAGGACCCAAGGCTTTTATACTATAATGATGATATCCATCTGGAAGGGTCTGCAAAAAACCATGCAATTTGCTTATATCCCAAGGTCTCTAATAGGACATACAATTTTACTTTATTGCAGCATTCTATCCAATTCCAAACTATTTTTAAGTTTCACCTCTTGAGGGCAAAAGTAATTTATGATTTACATCAGAGACAGAAATGTCTCACTGCAAAAATTTAGGGCTGTTTTCATAAAAACTGTGTACTATGCAGACATCTATAAAAATGTGGCTTTCCTTCAACCTGCACTGTAGTTTGAAGGAGTCTTGATAGTTTGCTACTTGCACAAAATGCAGAAGTATCAGAGAGGACAAACTAGGCTTTTTATTAAATCATATTTTTTACTTATTTGTTTTTTATTAGTAAACAAGTGTTACACTTCTCTTATACATGGAATTAGTCTCCGCTATCATTTTAACTCTTAAGCTACAACTGTTATAGATAGATCTGTTATTACTTCAGTCATGCAAAATGTAAAAATTTTATAGTATGCTTGCTTTCAATTATGACATCTTGTTCACAAGTACAAGTCAGCAGCTGCATGCTGTATTGCTGGAACCATTAACATAAGGTTGCATGCCAACTCTAAGAGTAGTTACTTTAAACAGTTAGAGTGGATCCTGTCAAAAAGAAGGGAATAAATCACCAGAGCAGATGTGTTATTTTACCGTAAAAGGTAATATATTTTGTAAGTTGATACTTTTCTCCTCCATGTTATCAAGTAGAAGTAATAGTACTAAAGAAAATAAAGAAAATAAATTTATGACAATGATCCTGTTTGGAGACGCTTTAACCAGATAAATTCATAATACTGCAAATACCTTAAGACTGTAAATCAAGGTATCTTTAATCTTAATTTTAATGTAATGCACCTTTCGGCTGTATTGGGATATCGTGTTTTCTTACAAATGCTGCTTTCACTTGCTGAGCTCACTTAAAACTGTTCAACACAGGGGGCAGCAGTTTGCACAGCAGATACAGCAGCAGAATCCTGAGCTCATAGAGCAACTGAGAAATCATATCCGGAGCCGATATTTGAGTGGCAGCACTGAAGAACATTCCTGACTTCAATGAGTCACATGAATTGGAATGATGTATAACCCCAAAATGCATACCATAGTTAGTAGCAAAAGCACCATTGTAACTCTTCTGCTTGAATAGAAGACAGAAAATTCTTTGTGTGTGTTTGCAAACAAGAATAAATCTGGTAAACAGACCTCTTGCACATAACTTGGAACATAGCGTTTATGTGTAGTTACTCCTCTGAAAATCAATACACTGAATGAGTGGTTTATCAAAATCCCCGTCCCAGTCATTTCAGTAGGTGCATCAGATTGACCTCCAGGGCTACTGAGTGGGGAGTTTTGTAGTGTGCTGATCTTGCATAATAGCTACTTCTAAAATGATAGTGTAGAAGATGTGTTACTCATATGGTAAGGATCGTGATGGCTGTCCTCCTTTAAACAGTATTGAAATACTGAAATATTGAAACAATAGGCCCATCTGATGTGCCCTTTTATAATGAGCGTTAAGTAGTGTTGGTACAGAGAGTACTTAAAACTCATGCTTGAGAAGTCTGTTTCCTTAATCCTGTGGAGGGGCCTTCATGAGTAACACGAAATACTTTACAACTTCATTGGGCAGAAGAGAGGGAGATGACTGCGTATGAAGGAGTAGCACACATTGTAGAGAAAGAAAAGACAGTAATTCTGTGTAGGATAATGCACAGAAATCAAAATGGAACTTGGCTTGGGAAAGGAAAAGAAAAGTTGTAGGGTTTTCTACTGCCATGTATGTTCTCACATCATGATGGTAGCCCTGGAGGTCAGAATTATGGCTCTATGTTCCTAGGCATGGCAAGCTGTATTACATTCCGTATGTATGCAGTATTTAATATAAACATAAAATTCTTAACTGTAATAAGCTAAAACTGAGCCTGTGACTGTACAAATAACTAGTACTGAAAATTTTAAAGAACTGCCTTAGAAGGATTCTTTTTCTATCCTTGTGTGATAAATCACTGGCTTAAACAATTGGGGATTTTTTTTAATTACATATATCTATCTAAAATGATGGTTATATAGTAAAGTTAAAGATTTTTTGACTCTATAGTATTTGTTTCTTGCTCAGTTAATATCACTCTTGCAAGACTGCTGCTCTTCTGTACGTCTAGTATGTTAACTTTTTTTACTCTGTTTACTGTTCACACTGCTTTGTGATATAAAGTACACTTGTTCTTAGCCCAGGGACCTTCTCAATATACTTTCCTCTTCCCATATCTAAACTAAATTGAGGAGCCTGCTTTGAATTTTTAGGCAAAGTGATCTCTCATGGCCAGTTAGTCTGGAGGAGTAACAATGGACTCCCAAATGGAGAAATACACAGAAACTCCTGAACCTTGGACTTTATATCCAATTGACCCTGTGCTCATAAAAGAGCTCCTCCAGCAGAAGCAAATGCAAAATTTGGGGCTAAGTAATATACCTGATTCTAACAAATTACTGTTGTACATCTACGGTATGAATCAGACAGAAAAATGCTGATCCAAGGAGAAATGAAAGGAATTGGAGAAAACACAAATCTAGGAAATCCATATTACCATCTGTTGAATAAAGAGGTAAAGCTTAATACATGAACAATTTTAAGACATTTCATACTTTATTGAATAGCTTGTCTATGTACAGCATTAAAATGCTTTTGAAAATTCTCACTGAGTTATTATAGCTGCTTTCTTCAGGTTGTAGAGATACTTCAGCTTTACATTAAATACATTTTCAAGTAACAGCTTCTGACTCAATATCTGATGACAAGAAAGAGAATCCCTAAAGGGATCCTTTGTCAGAGGTAGCTCAGATTCTGAATATTATTTATTCAAGGAAATTTAATTATGTTTAATTACACTGTGTAGGACAGGAATACCATTTAGAAGGAAGCTTTATGGAGGCGCTGGGTGGGCTACAAAAAGTGTACAGGTATTACTTGGAATAGTGTGTTGCGTCAGGAGAGAAGCATTGTACCTAGCATGTTAAACTTCACAGTTCCTTTTAATTCTCTTTCATATCTTCAACTGCCCAAAGTGTGTTTCACTGACTTTGATAGGGGGAACCAAAAAATCCGTGGTGGAGTGGGCAGCTCTGCCAATATCTCTGTACAAACTCAAATTATTCTCACTTTGCAAGAGCAATCCTCATGCAGTTACTTTTCTGCTTTGAGACAGAGTGTCAAGAATTTAATGAGAGTTCCTTAAGAGCGACAAAGTATGTTAAGATCCAAAAAGGGCAGAAGAAGTAGTGTACTCATACTGTTAAGTACAAGCTCTATAACTTACTGGATTTATGGGAGAACAATCCCCAAGGTTAAATGGAATGAAGCATTGGTTAGTTACCTGAAAACTACTCTTGAAGTCATCTTCATGGAGTTGTAACTTTCACTTCACATGCTACAATATTGTTTAGGTTTTACTTCAGATAATACAGAGTATATATTAAAATGTTAACAGCATTAGCTAAGCCTTCAGGAATGTACTACAACTGTCTGGCACAATACTTTACAGTAAACATTCTCTATTTCTTATGTATTAACAGAAGGGGCTTTATAGCCTAAACAAAAAACAGTGAAACCAGTAACAGGAGCTGTCATTACATGCTTTTCCACTGAAATCATGAACAGAGAGATCATTTATGCTAAAGTCTGCTTTCCTTTGAATTGCCTAGATTGTTTCAGTCACGCAACATGTCTTAATCACAGGGTGTGGAAGGAATCTTTTCCAGTGTAGTAACTGCACTGTATCTTGTGCTAAAATTTTTCTTCCTGATAGATAAAGTGGTAAACCCACAATCCCTCTAAATATTGCTTTAATTTAAGATCAATTGCAGTTTATCATTCAACTGAGCAAATCTGCATTTACACCTAATTGGTTTTGTATCATTACTGTTCCATCAGTGTGTAAGTACAATAATTTGTTAGAGAAGAAAGTATTTTGCAATCAATTGTGAACTCCTGTAACCTGCTTGCATGGGAGTATATTCTTCTAACAGTGATCATAAAGACACTTAAAGAAATATTCAGCTTAGATGTTGTTTTAGTTGCACTCTTGGTTTTGTAACAAGTGCAAAGTAAAATCACTCATGCATACTGATATAGAACTAGCTCTGTAACTTTGAGTAGATTGTTTTACGGCAACAGAATAGTCATACTGGCATAATGCAACTTGTCTACTATTTCTGTATCTCTCCTACCTCTTACTGCCATGTGGTTACATCTCCTTCAATTTGTGTAGTTTAACTCAAAGATATATTATAAATAAAGTTATATACTTTTTTTGTCTGTATAGTTGTGGTTTTCTGGTTTAATTTTTTATGTATCTGAAGTAGCAGGTAAATTGCATTGTTTATATACCTGTTCATGTTGGTTGGATTTTATCACATAGGCAGGATCCATTTCTAATTTATTGTTTCCTGTACGGACTTAGTTTCTCAATATACAAAGCTGGTTCTCAATTTCTCCAGTATTTTAACACTGTATTTTAATACTTAAATTTCTCCAGTATTTTAATACTCTTAATATTTTACACATGGGAAGCTCAAGTAAAATAGTATCAAAACTAACTATAAAGTTGCTAAGTGCCAGCATGGTAGCTGAGAAATACAAGCTGCTGATTAGTCTTTAACACTAGTTTAACTAGTGTTAAACTAGGAAAGACAGTTGCCATTTTGTCTATGAAATGGCTGCCTCTGGGTAACCATAGATATTTCAGCCAAAAACATTTTCAGTTTCTGTCAAAACAAAGCTAGGGAAAAGCACATTGTAGTGCTTGACCAGGCCCAAAACTTCCTCTTGTGTATGCTTTAGAGAACTTGATCTAAGGCAGCAATGCAGGATGGTTTTTTTCCTTTCTTTTTTTTTTTTTCCTTAAAAATCTATTTAATTGCCTCTGGGATGGGAAGAATAATTGGAACCACCTTATTTTAACAGTAAGAAACTACCTGAGCTCTACTATTTCAGTTTTCAGTTGGAAAGTAACATGCCTGTTAACAACATGTCCTGTATTGCAGGGATGCACAACTCCGCTCATGACAGCAGATAATTGGGACAGATTTGCTATATTGCTTCTGCTTCAAAGAGTGAGCCACAACCAACACCGTCATTGCTTATACTTCAATTCCTAGCTCCAAGTGCCTCTAACAATGCCAGCTGCACTCTCTCATCTCATGCCTTTATCAGGTTTTATTTCCTATGGCTGTACATGTACCATGTAAACACACTGCCATGCCAGGTACCCCATATTATTTTTTTTTTTTTCAATTTGGATTCCAGGAACTTGTCTGTAAAAGATCAGTTCTTCTGAACTGAAGTAGTCTTGTCAGAGCCATGATTTTAAAAGGGTTTAAATACTTCAAAAATTAAAATAAGAAAAATAAGCACAAATTGCTAATATTTCTTATCAATCTCATCCTCCTGTCCTGAGATTATGTAAATGAAATATAATTTGCTAGAACTACACTTTTTTCAAAGGTTTTATTTTTAGTAGATAAAATGCATATGCATGTTTTAAAATATTTGAAAACATTCAAGAAATGCTCAGAGAAATTAAATAATTATTATCACATTTACAGCTATATAGTGATTTGATTTTTTTTGTACTCATTTTAGAACAATTGACAGCAAAAACATCAAGAAGTTGGTCAAAAAAACCCAGTAAAACTACACATTTTTTTTCTTCAGCTTTGCTTGATTTCTGAAGAAACTACACAGACTTGTGCAATATCATCATACTCGTATGTTCTCTTCAAAAATGTGTCTGTAAGTCTTAGGCCAGAGACACTCTAGAAGGGGAAAATATTTATGAGTTGTTATTAGAAAGAATTGTTAATATTATAAAACAGCTATTTTACAACAAAACTGTGCTAATAACATACCTGCAATCCCTGCACTGAAGACAACAATGTAAGTGCAAGATGGAGTGATGAACTTGGGTGCAGCTTCCCAAGTTGCCTTCCTGAAACTCCACACCAGTGGATGGAATTAGTATTGCACATTTCTAAAACCAGATCCATAGTCCTTTCACTGCTAGAGGAAATCAAGAAACAAGAATAAACCTGTGGGCTTTTTTAAGCATTCAAAGACTGCAAACATCTAAAAGCTTGATTATTATTCAGGTAACTATTAATCCAGATTCATAAATACTTGTAAGGTGGCAAGCAGTATTTATTGTGATGCACAGTAATTTGGCTGCAGACAGCTCTCTTTGACACAGCATGCTGTCATGAGCTTAGCAATACTGGATAACATAATACTTGGATGCACTACAAGCTTTTGATGAGAACCATCTGCAGGCCAGATACATGCTTTAGTCTCTGGGTTCAACTTCTATTTAGAATTACTCTATTTAAATGTCAGTCTTGCAACTCTAAAATGACTTCTGATTTAAGTATGAGGTAAAATCATAAATAATGTTGCAGACAGATTAATAGAATTTCTCTACAGATTTCTTGGCTATCTCCTAGTTCAGTACCATATTAACAGGTCATTATATAAGTTTTTTAGTTGTAGTTGTTTCCTTGGAGTTTTTTTTAGTCTCTGTGTTTCAAGTAGTTTTGTGTCGCCACAAATCATAATAAAGACCAGGTTTAAGTAGTTTCAGGAGGAAGTACTGAAACATAAAACAAAACCAGCCACAACTCACTCACTCAGGAAAAAGTAGGAGAATCACATGACATTGTTACCTGCAATTTGTTATTTTACATGTAATGTCAAAAGGTTCTTCCAAATTTACAGTATCTGGTATTGTCTCCAATGATAGCCTTACATCACCATAACCAGGAGCCTGGGAAGGAACAAAAATGTGTATTCTCAGATGCTGGACAGGGAAATTGAAGTTTTTACTAAAGTTTTGATTTCCTGGAAGAAGTATGGAATAAGAGAAATCTGAAGAAACAAGATTGACTGTGCTTTTGGTTAGTATGGAAATCACAGCAGCTCTCCAACTGATGAACATCATCTTCACAGGTTTAACAATTGATCAGAAAAGGATGATCTTTATTATTACATTTTCAGGAGAGTTTAAATCCTTAAAGTTTGAATAGCCATATACAGTTCCTGAGAATATCAGCTTTACCCTAAGGCCTTTAGTCTAAGGTAGGCAGATAACAGATCTGTGTGGACACCACCAGTAAAACTTCCCTGCTTAACCCCACCACTATTCCACATCCTAAGAAACAAGAGAAACTGCCATGTTGGTCCTCTGTGCCTCTGCCAAAATAATTAATTGTCATCAGTTAGAAAGTCACACGATACGAACACTTATCAATTATCCATAACCCAAACACATTTCATATGGTCTACTAATAAACCTATAGTAAATAACTTAGTACCAACAGGGCTGATTCAAAATAGTCACCTGCAGATCACAAAGCATGTCTAGATTTTCAATCCCCATGAATGATAAATCATGAGGGAAAAATAGGTGGAAAATTTGTCCTGCCTTCCAAGGCTGAGTTATTGTACATGTTTCAATTCTACTAATAAAAGGATGTTGTAGTGAAAGTTGTATTTACAGTGTGATTGAAAGATATTTCCAAAGTGGTCCGGAAAGTCAGTGACTGACAGGCAGGGAACAGGTTTTAGTCACGTAAAGTTTGCTACAGAATAAAGACAGATGACATTTTAGAAAGCATATTAAACTGGACGTTAAAGTAAGCAAAGGGATGTCAAACAAATAGGAACTTAGATTAGCCAAGCAATATGCATTTGGAACCTTGCATGAAAGAGAAGTAATTATTTGGCACTGGAAGAATGCAGATATATTCAGCTGTATTAGATGACATGGAGGAATTGACTGGAACAATTATACACATTATACTAAACAACAGGTAGTTTTCCATTAACCTTAGGGTCTTCTTTTACCAGAGATATATTAAGAAAAAAAAAACAACAAACACAAACCTACAATAAAAACAGTATTTTAGAGAATAAACTTAGCATAAACTGACTAAATCAAAACAGGATCAGAGTAGATGAGACCTATACCACACCATATCTGTTGAACTCAAAAATGAGATACTGCCAAGAACTGATGGCCTTGAAGTAACAATAACAGGAGTAACTAGGTTTTATCCAGAACTGAGGTAACTGCTCAGATTATGGAATCAACTAGACAATTTCCTGCTTGTGCTACTCAAGAATGATGTTCTTTAACTTTGGACTGGTTCGTGTACTGAATACCTGTGAGCATGTGGAGCACCTTTTGGCATATTGTGGACACCTGGCTTGTTCATTGTCTCCGAAAGAGACTGTACTTGTGAATTCCAAGACCAAGCCACATTCAAAGAAACAAACAAACAAATAAAAAAACACTCCCAAAAATCCCAACAAAAAAACAACCAAACATACAATCTATGGTATGTGGATACTTGTTTCAAAGGTGCATTTCTCATCTGACCTGCAACAAGGTCATTTTCCTTAATTTTCCTCCCATTCCAAACCACATTTTTACCTCTGGTATTACGTAAATACGTAATACCAGAGGTAAAATTCTGGGCCTGGGTGGGAAACAATGATTATAGTGCCAGCAAATGGATTAAGAGGAAAATTATTAAGAGTGAAGTCTAGAAATTAAATAATCTGATAGCACTTAAAAATGAGGGGAGAAAAGAGGAAGTTACACTAGAACACAGAAGGGGAAAAAAACCCAACTACCTGCTGCTCTTCTAAAGACAGATGTTGCTCGAAGTACGCAAAATAGTTAGTGTTTTTCTTTAATCACAAGGCACAAAAAGATGCATAACCAAAACTAATCCTAGAGTGTTGAAGTATGTGCTTCATGTGCAATTCTCAAAGGTTCAAATAAAAGAGATGCAGAATGAGACAATATTGATTAGGGGAGGGAAAATAAATGAGAGAAAAGGTCAATTGAAAATGAACCCATTTATTGTTAAAAATAAGCAACAAGTTTCAAAGTAACAGGAGAAACTAAGTTTAGGAAAAGGGCAATTTCTAATTTCACGTGTTTATGCACACACTCAACACCTCAATTAAATCAAGATACTTTTAAGTGATTTAGTGACTTTCTTGTGAATTTCTAGGATCAAAGTTTGCTTGCCTAGTTCCAAGTCAGTGTGACTTGACTACAGAACTGCTCAATGTACTAGCAGCTGGGGACTGGGGCAAAGGCAGAGGCAGAGACCCAATTATAAGCTCCTCAAACTTAGACTGAGATTCAACTGTCAAAGTTTTTTTTAACTACCCTTCTGTATCTCTCTCACCATCCTGAAGTGTGAAGATGCAAACTAGGTTTAGGCATTAGATGGCTGTGGAGCTGACTTAAGCAAGATAGTAATTACAACTCAAAATTCAAGAAAAATTTATAAATCATCTAGAATAGGATAGACTCAATAAAAACTGTGGACATGAAAGATAAATAACATTAGGCATAAAAAAATGTTATTCCAAGCTAAAATGTCTGTATGGACTTGGGAGCAACTTTCATATCAAGAGTTGGCACATTTAAAGAGGTTCTTTTGTCATTTGTGTATTTTGCAACACTGGTTACTGGATTCTGACAATTGAAGTGCTCACTCCATTAACTTATCCACACTTCACTGAAGAAATATATGAAATAACTCTAATACATACAGAAAAATGTGAATAAAAAATAAGGCTCAGAAAGTAAGCAGCTTGCACTTTTCCAAGTCATTATTAAAAATTGTTCATTGAGTTTCCTTAAAAACGAATGCCAAGTTAAATTAATACCTAAGTTAAACTTACCATTCTTTGGAGCTGGCTAGTTTGCAGCCTTCCTCGTTCACCCAGATTAGTTTTCCATACAATGTCTAATTTACCAATCACTGTTACACCTTTTATTACTCCAGCTTTCTCTGCAAATTCTTGCTTGGGTTTTAGACAGTATAAGTATTGACGTGTATCCATAGGTTGTAAGTAAGTCCTTGCACCAAAAGTAGACTCACTGAAAGGAAAAAACCACTAGGTCTTAATTTAAACAGCTATTTTGAAGATTAAGAACCCAAGTTTTTTTCCCCCATCCCCCACAAGTCTTATTGTATGTGTATGCATAGTTTGATAATGGTAAAACACACAGAATATTTTTTGTTTTCACAACAGAAAAGACCTCTAGAATTTAGTTAGCACCAAGGACCATGGAGAAATAAAAGAACCTGCTTTTCTCAGCCAGAGAGAAATAACATAGAAATTCTCTCTGCTACATTATAACTAATTATCTGGCATCTTATCATTTAAACAAAAATGCTGGTAATTTTTCTTCTGCTCTTTGTTTTCCTGCACAGTAAATCTCAATGTCATGAAACTAAGATTCCTGTTCAGGAGAAAAACCGTTATAGTGGATGCAAACACTTGGTAAAACAAAGCTTCATTATGCTGCAGGTGAATCCTTCAACAGGCAAGGAGAAGACAGAATTTTCACTTTAGCCCCTACTGCTGAAGCACTCAACCATCACCTCCAAAAACCTAAGCAACTGCAAAACACAAACAGCCAAAGTTAATTTCACAAGATTTTGCATCCACTGTAGTCAGTTATTATGGCATGAGGTGTTTAACTAAATTATTTTATTTCATTGTGAAAAATTTTTAAATTCTATGACTCCATGAGGGTGTACCACTGATCCACCTTGTCTGGTGTCTTGATATATCATGATTAGAACAAGTGAAAACAGTAAGCAGTTTACTGACAGGAAGCAAGAATTAGTCAGATGAGTCCTGTAAGGCTAAGTA